AGGAATGGGGCAGGTACTTGGACACCTGGGTTTCTTGGGAAGGGGGTGGGAGCTGCGGGGTGGGAGTCTGGGTGCCCAAGCCCTATGGTGCGCTGTGGCCTACAGGGCGCCTGATGTACCCATTCCCCCGGGACTGTGCTGAGGAGCTGCTGAACGGGCCAAGCCGGTCGCGGGAGGTGACCGTGTACGTGGGCGGTGCACGGGACCAACCCCTGAGGGTCTACTGCGACATGGATACAGATGGCGGTGGCTGGTTGGTGCGTGTGCAAGGGGGGACACACACGTGTGCAGAATATACACATGTGCACACTCACCCCCCCACACACACGCGCATGCATACACAGAGGGATTTGAACACTTCTTGTGCACACACGTGTGCCGATTGCCAAGCTCAGCCCACAGACCTTTGTGTGCACTCATGATCAGCTGCATTCCCAGAAGCATTTGAGCACTCACACAATGTGCGGATTCTCGTTAGGATTTGCACACTTGTCACACAAGCATGCATGGGCTGAGTTGCATGTTGGTCCTGCATATATGCACTCTTGCACACCTGTCGTCCTTGGCATGTTCACATCTTCCCATAAGGATTAGTACACACACCAAACCCAGGCATCCAGCACATGTGTGTGCACATGTGCGCGCGCGCGCACACACACACACACACAACACACACACACATACATATATATCCAGAACCCAGGTGTCCAGGACACACACAGAAAACCCAGGCATCTGGGACACATGCACACACACACACAGAACCCAGGTGCCCTGGACACACACAAGAATTGTTCCTCCTCAGCTCAGCTCCCCACATCTCCCATAACACCCTGCTTCCTGCACACACACACACACACACACACACACACAGAACCCAGGTATCTGGAACATGGACACACATGCGCATACACTCACAAAAATTCACATATTCACCCCAGCAGCACACCCTCATGTGCGCTCACTGTTATGTGCATACACACATGTGCACACTCATGGGAACATGCAGCCCACACCCCCGTGAACACGTGCCCACATTGGTGTGCTTGGCTGCAGACCCAGACCCCAGCATGCCCTCACAGAAGGATTCACCCACTTCCCCTGGGGGTGATGGGGGGCAGGAGGGGATGTCCCCTGGAGGGGCATGCCAGGCTGCCTGTGACCCCCGCCCCAACATCCCCAGGTGTTTCAGCGGCGCATGAATGGGAAAACCGACTTCTGGCGTGACTGGCAGGACTATGTCCAGGGCTTTGGCGACCTCTCCCGCGAGTTCTGGCTGGGTGAGTCCCCAGAACCCAGGTGTTTTGCACCCAGCCCCCAGTGCCCTGCTCCCAGAGCTGGAGGGAACCCAGGCATCCAGGTCCCCAGCCCCACATCTCTGACCTACCATCCCCTACTGCGCTCCCAAAGAACCCAGATGTCCGGGATCCCAGCCCCCACTCCCCTGCTGTCACTGGGGGAGATCCCAAGAGTCCAATACCCAGGCCCCCAGCCCCTACTTCCCTCCCAGAGTTGAGGGGAACCCAGGCATACAGGACCCCAGGCCCCCTCCCCTCCCCTCCCCTCTTCCCATGGCTAGAGGGAACCCAGGTGTCTGGGCATCCCAGCCCTCACCCTGGGCCCAGAGCTGGAGTGAACCCAGGCATCCTTTGGCCGCATGTATAGTAAAATTGGAACAATTACAGAGGTTAGCATGGCCCCTGCGTAAGGGTGACATGCAAATTCATGAAGCGTTCCATACTTTTTAGGAAGCCTCTTCTGTGGCTGAAGGGCCAGAGTTGCAAGCTGGTGGCTGCAAGGATGCCAGTTCAAGTCTGCCCGTCAGCTAGCTATTTTATAGGAAGGGGAATTAGCTCAAGTGGTAGAGTGCTTGCTTATCATGTGGGAGGTAGTGGGATTGATGCCCACATTCTCCATTCGTTTTTGGAGAAGACTCAGGGGGGACTTGGTGGCAGCCTATAAGTATATCAGGGGCATACACCAAGGCTTGGGGGAAGCATCTGTTCACCAAGGCCCCCCAGGGGAGGACAAGAAATAATAGGACAAGTAATAATAGGCACAAATTGGTTGAAGATTGCTTCAGACTAGACATAAGGAAAAACTTTACAAGTTGAGTGCCGAGGGTCTGGAACAGGGTCCCCCCAGATGTGGTACAGGCACACACCCTGGTGATCTTCAAGAAGCATCTTGATGCCCACTTGCTGGGGTCATCTGACCCCAGGTGTCTTTCCTGCCCACTGAAGCGGGGCTGGACCCGATGATCTGTAAGGTCCCTTCCAGCCCCTAACGACTATCCTAACCCTCAGCCCCCACTCCCCTCCCAGAGCTGGGGAGAAGCCACGTCCACCCCCACCACCCCCTTGCTCCCAGAGCCAGGGGAAAAACCAGGTGTCTGGGTCCCTGCCTTTCAGGTAACGATGCGCTACATGCACTGACCTCAGCCGGTGACTATGAGCTGCGCGTGGACCTGCGGGCAGGGGCCGAGGCCGCCCACGCCATCTACAGCCACTTCCGCGTGGACTCCCCCAGCGAGCACTACCGCCTGCATCTGGGGTCCTACCGTGGTACCGCTGGTCAGTTGGCAGTGTGGGGGGAATCCCTGGGCTCTTGGGGAGTCATCCTAAGACTGGAGGCATGGGGAGGTCCCTGGAGCCTATGGAGGGGACCCTAGGCTCTG